AAACAATAAAAGCTTAGAAAAAGTGGGGGTATGAAGCTCACCTTGAGTTGGTTGAGGAGTTGTTGGGAGTTATGGAGTGAAGATCTCAAGCTTAAACTTTTGGCTGAGATGAGGAGCTCCTATGGGAAGAATGTTGTCCTAAGGTTGATTATCACATATTATTATGAGTAAAATAATATGGATTGATCTTGAAAATTATGTAAAATCTTAGAATGAGTGGAGAACTTACTTTAGAAAGACTTCAGGGAAGATTTTAGGAATTTTGCTTCCAGCAAGATCCTTGATTTTTGCTCTTGGGAGGAGTAGGTGAGAGAATAGGAGAAAAGTGAGAGGGAAATGTGAAAAGTCAAAATTTCCTTCTACTGTCGTGCTTAAGAGTAAGAAAAGGGAGGGAATCTTTGGTGCATGGGGATCTGATGGTCCAAGCTTTGTTATTTGGTGGGTAAAGCATGAGATACTATGATTTGCATGGGAAATGAGAATTTCATCACATCACAAAGTTAACCTCTTTGTCCTTATCTTGATTTAGGATAGGATCTTCCTAAATCCTAAGCTTTTTTTAAATATGTTTAAATAATTAAATTTGGCATAAATAGAGGTTTTAGGGGTCTCAGTTAAGAAAAACACGAGTTTGATGGGATTTCCGACGTCAAAATGCCTTAAAATGATGAAATGGTCCGAAAATGACCAAAATCCAGAGTGGGGGTTGGTTCCTGCGAGGGTCCGAAGCAATTTTCAAATTTTCTGGAGTCATTCACAAGGTTCCGGAGTCAGCAGGCGAGATCTGGAGTCAATATGAGAGGTCCGAAGCACTTTCTCGGATTTCAGGCGCGAGATCAGGGTGAAGCCAGCAGTCCGGACCGGAGGCGCGAAGCCGACTGGAGGATCCGAAGCTGCTTCAAGCAAAATCTTTCGGAGCCACTTCTTCCGAGCGTGCGAGATTGTCCGAAGGAAAATATGGGCACTCCGGAATCCATCAGAAGCTCCGAAATAGGGAGGGAAGAGGGTTTCGGACGAGAGGTTCAGGACCAAGAGGGTTTCGAATCAAGAAGGTCCTATTAGGGTTTCCTCTTCCGGTTTTAAGCTGTTTTCGACTTAGGAAAGTACTTAGAGAGATTTGAGATACGTTGAGAGATTTGGGAGATATTTCACATACTTGGAGAGATTTGGGAGAGATTTCACATACGGGTGTTATACATTAAGTGTTTTGAATGTTTGATTGTGTTTCGAAGCCCAACGGTGTTATCGTAATTTGGTAGCTCGGTTCTTTATAAATTTTGGGTTTTTGTTAGGGAATTTTTATGGCAAGGGTAAGTTGACAGAATATAAAGTTCGTTGAAAATGGACCTAAGACGAAGGATTACAGTCATTTGAAGATCATGGGTTTTGGAGCATGGTCGAGTACGTGGGGCGTACTCATCATGTACGCTGAGCGTAATGGGTTAAGGCATCGTGCATGGTCCATGAGTACGTCGGTCGTACTAAGGGGTATGCGGGGCGTACTCCCTTCAGTAAGAAAACCCAATTTTTTTCAAGTGTACCCTTTATAAGCCACGTGTTTACCTCTTTTGACCATTTCCTAGCCAACCTCCATATCCTAAAAACCCTAATTCGTTCCTTAGCCCATGTTTGGTGATTTTGAGCTCTTGTGAAGCTTTGTGGATGATTTTGTGCATCTAAAAGAGGAAGGGGAAGCTTGAAGACTCATTCATTGGAAGAGGGCTTTGAGATCCAGGATTAGCATCTTCTATTGGTGGCTTGGAAGGTATAAAGTTCAAACCTTTCCATTTCATTTCATGCATCTACTTCTTGGCACATTTTTGGTCCTTTTGGTTGGTAATTGGGAGTTAGGGTCGTTTTTGGAGCTCAATCTTATATATCTGGATATATTATGGGTTCCTTGGGCATAAAGGTGCAAACTTTATGGTGGTTTTGGTCCCATGCATGTATTAAGTCAATTATTAAGCTCATTTGAGCTCTAGGGCCCCATTTAGTCATGAATGCACATAAATTTGGCAACTTTATATGATTAACCACCTTATGGAAGTCAAATATGAGTTTGGATCAAAGTCTTAACGGGTTAAGAGCTAAAATGGAAAGGTTGGACATGTTTGTGATATGCTAGGCGTACAAGTTAGTACGTTGCACGTACAGGCTATTTACGCCCACGTACTCAGTAGGCTTGGATTTCTTTGTTTTGGGCTTCAGCTTTAGGCTAGGATGGGCTTGGTTGTCTTGGACCATGTTGAGCTATTTGGATTTTATGATTAGGCTATTGAGACTTTATTGGACACTCTTAGGTGAAGGCCCACAAAAGGGATTGGGCCCAATTTGCAAAATTAGGCCATATGTAGGCCTTAAGTGCTTATTTTGGATTTTGGGCTTTTGGACATTTGGTTTGGGTCTTGGCCTTGGGCCAAGTTAAAGGAAGGGTAAAAGGGTCTTTTACCCTAATTTAGACTCTATGTGTAAGTCAGGATCTAGTTATTAATGGTTCGTCATTTTGGTATTTGATAGCGCGTGGATTTTAGCGGATCTATAGTCGGATTTTTATCTGAGGGTTTCAGTTGTCTGAGGTGAGTCTCCTCACTGTACTATGGGTCGAAGGCACCAATGCCTTCCCATTTGGTTTATGATATTAGAAGACCCAGGGTGGCCCCTGGCATTTGAATGAAAGACTCGGAGTTGGCTCCTGGCAAATATGTATGCAAGTCCAGAGTTTGGACTCTGCAGTTAATTAGATAAGTAATTGTAAATTGTATGCTAGTCGTCTTTGTGATGCTTGCATGGAAGACTAGGAGGTGGCTCCTGGAACTTGCATGTAAGACCCAGGGTTTTGTCCCCCAGCGTGGCAAGGAAAGACCATGATACGACTCGTGGCATAATGACAAGACTATGGTTAGCCCATAGCACCTCCTAATGCATGTTTGATATGTATGACTCGTATGTTATGTATGGTATGTGGTATTTTGGGGAACTCATTAAGTTTTATACTTACAGTTGTTGTTTGTGGTTTCAAGTAGATCTGGTGGAATGGTCCGGCTTGATCGCAATGCATCCACCCATGTTTTCCGCAGCTTAGTGATTGCGGGACTATACTCTGATAATAGTTATCTTATAAAATACTTTAAAATGGTTTGAGTAAATGAGATTTGGTGTTTGATTATATTAAAAATGAATTTTTTACCTTGTGATTTTCGGGTCGTTATAAGAAATCTAAAAGGTTTGGGCATCGGTTGTATTTTTGCTTTGACCGGAGCTATTTTGTTCAAGTGTATATGGAGATTTAAAACTTATCCAAATGCCTTATAGGTATAAGGTTATTTCACCTATTCATGGTGTGGAATTAGTTGTGCTCGGTTCATGCTTATATTAATAGTATGTGGATTGCCCGTCTGAAGTAAATCAAGAGTTGGGTAAAAAAGGATTGATCTTATCTCTGTTTGTAAACGAAAGTTGGTTGATAAAGCATGTACTTCTTTTTGAAATGGCATTTAGTGCGGTGACGGTTCACTTAAAGTTCAATTCCTAAGAGTATGATTTGGATTACAACAAAAGTTGCCCTGGCTTCAATCTACTCAACGTGTACGCATTTTAGGATATATCTGGGAGGAAGAGAGGAGCAAGCGCAATACTTGGCTTTGAGGAATTATATGAATACTGTTATCTTCTCGGATTGGCATGACACTTGGAGTTGGTCCATGGATGCCTCGATGAGAATTACGGTTGGCTTTTTATTGATACCAACACTTTGGTGGTTGACACTAACCCAACTAGGGGTGAATTGGTTATTCCCTATAAAAGTTAATATTTTTTTATTGTAGGCTTGAATAAGATCCTTATTCATGTGGTTTTGGATAGGAGATGGATACACGTTGAAGGATGATTTTCAAATTCTAGTGTCAATCAAGAAAATTAATGTCATTTAGTTTATCTAGATGTTAGACTCATATGTTATACGGGTTTAATAAAACAAAAATTAAATATAAAACTTTAAACAAAAATTTATTTAAATTTGAAATTTTAGATTTAAAATTTAAATTTTAAATTTTGAATTTAAAAGGAAACATATTAAATACTATATGAGTATTAATATTGTAATTTATTGGTTATTTTCAATTAAGTTAATTATTAATTGAGGTGTAAATATGATATATTAATTAACAAAAGATAAAATAATAATAATAATAATAAGAAGAAAATAACAAATGGAAAAAACATTTAATCAAAAATACCAAAAAATAACATGTATCCAAGTTAATGAGAGAGTCACATGTAGTAAAATTATTTTCATTTATTAAGGAGGGTTCACAATGACATAGCAAGTATTTGTGGTGTTAATGTGTTTATAACATATACATAACAGGAAATAGCCCTTCTATTAGAATATCAAATTAATAATTAGATTCTAATAAATCAATAGTCTTTAAATATGATTTATCATACTAAATTCACATTGCAGTTTCAAAAAAGTTTGAATTATGAGATTCTCATCATTGCAATTTCAAAAGGTTTGAATGTTAAGACTCCCATAAAGCTATTTAGGTAGGTAACAAATTTACCAATTGCATTAAAATTCAACTTCTAGATCTTATAGGGTTTTCCACACAATTGATGGAGATTTGTCATTATTACCAACTGGATGACCCGATTACTTGTTGGATAACCCGATTACCCACATGACATATAGCTTGTTTGAGTCGCGAGTTGACTCGACTCCGAATGAGTCAAGCAGTGACTCGCAATTTTGAACCGAGTCAACTCTTTTATGGTTTGAAAGGACTTAGACTCGTACGATTCGACTCATGACTAGTTCATGTTTGACAACTATGACCGAAGGTTTAACAAGTTCATTAATGAGGTCAAGATGTCCATTTTCAGCCATGTAAATACTAGTAGCCTTGGTTACTGGTTAAAACAGTTAAAAACAATGACAAGATGAGCTTGATGGAGTGAGTATTTTTTTTTTTTTTTTTTAATATTTTAACATCACAATCACAGTGACTTTAGGAAAAAAGTTTGGTGATCTGAATGGAACAAGTAAAAAGTAAGTTGCTATTCAGTTACTTTAACCCAACAAAAAACCCCAAGGGTGTGATTGAATAATAACAATATGAAACTAGTTTGTTTCTCCATTATACATTCAAAAGGCGAAGCAATTTGAAAGAAACATACCAACATATATTGGTAGCAAAAATGAAGTGTACTGTTGACTGTTTTCTCCCTCCTATTCATCCGGTTGCTTTCTTCAAACACTCCACAAGTATACAGTTGAAAGAATCAAAATGCTGCCCATCCAGCTGCACCTGTTTTACTTTTAGTTGATCCAGGAAGATTCTTCTGCAATGATCATAAGTATATCATAACAGAATCTTTAAAAACCATTAATATCATGCACTTTATATGTAAGTTAGATAGAAAGCAGTTTAGCCCTAATATCCTATGTATGACATTGTACTGTGAAAGATGCTTTGTGTGTTGATGAGGATGACATTGCTGTACTTGGGTAAATTATTCAAAGTACAATGTTGTAATATAAATAGTAGAAAATGGGATGTTAATGAAAGTATATTGCTATTTCCTGTATTTAACCCTAATATCCTATGTATTTAGTTGGATATTTGATAGACTATTCTAAATCTAGGAATAAGGTAATGTAGGTGACTGCAATGCAAAGCATAAAGTTTCTGACAACTAAAGAGTAAGAATGGAAACTGGAATCAAGATTGAAGTATGGTAAAAGACATCAAATGATAAAGATACCTCAAGTTGAGACAAATCAGTGAAAGCATTTGTAGAATGCCTTGTTTCCTTGGTTCCTTCAACAGCAATACTAACTTTTGTAGAAGTCATCCGAACAACAGCAGGATCATTGGGTGGAGGTGGGAGAGGAGATCTGATTCTTGAAGTGGAACTTGGTGGAGGAGCAAGGCTTAGAGGCTTACTATTTCCAGTTCCAGCAGGACCTCCTGACAAACCAGCAGAAGAAAGCATCCCAGATCCACTAGCAGGCTTGTTTTTTACACTTATCCGAATGGTTTCACCTTCCTGAAACACATGTTGCACAGCGTTAGTTTAAGTTGATCAATGCATGAACACAGATCCACTCCATTTCTAAGATTGACTCCTTCATAACAGTGTTTCAACATTCTTTTTAGGTGCATATCTTAAGTAAATTTTCTTATAGTTCTTGCTAATCAGAATCTTTATGTCAATTTTGCATGTCCAACTTGGTGGTGTTAACTAGATTAAATCATGATCATCAGCACCAGGTAGAGCTCTTATAGCTGTAGTTGTGCTTATCAAGTGTTATGCTAGTTTTGGATGAAATAAATTATAAATCCATAGCTGTTCAACATTATGAGCTAAACGAGCTCCAAAACCGATTCCAAATGTAAGATCATATGACCAGATCAAACACTGAATTATAATTCTAATGCGTATGCACGGAAAATGAGGTAAGACGTGCACCTTTAATCTATGGTTCACAGCAGGATGAATATCAATATGATTGGCATCGCTAGCTTCACCATCCTCCTTTTCGTTCTCCCTCTTGACATACTTATCATGATCGGACAACGCCACATTGAAATCAAACGCCTCATTTCTCTCCGTAAACCCTAGCCCTATAAACGCGTGCTTCCCCGTTCCATCCTCGATCTTCAACACAAAATACCTCGACGAATCGAGAACGGACTCAACCGCATTTTCCCTCTGCCCAGGGTAAACAAAACAAGCTGCAAATAAATCGCCGGAATTTGGATCTTCCAACCGGATCTCACACCGATCCTTACATGAAACCACACGGAGCCTACCGGACCAGATCTTGTCCGACTGAAGCCACTCACCACACTTGTAACCGCCGCTGGTGGATCGCGGCGGGATTTTAAAAACGGAAACTTCTCGGACCACTAGTAACGTGTGCTCGAAGGACTCTTCTTCCTCCAAGTCGAACGACATCGTTATGTTCTTTAAATATCGATAAATGTGAATATGGATTCGACCTAAGAAATATGTGGATTTCTTATGCTTACAGTGATTGGAATTGGAGATACAAAGTTATTGCTGTTGTCCCAATTTTTTATTGTTTCTGTTCAAAGAAAAATTAAGCTAACCGGTGGAGTAGGTGATGCGTGGTTTCGAAGAAGAAAAGCATATGTGCTCTTGCGTGTGCAGTCAGGAATCCGGCTTGCGGCGATGTTAGATTATCTTTCCTATTTTGTCTGCCATTTGCAAGATTTTATTTTCATAAATAGAAGATTTTTTTTATTTTTGGAGAATTTGGTATATACTTTTTTTTTAACATCTAAATATCCAATCTAATTTTGAAAATATTTCCTTCATAATTTTTAAAATATCAAATTGGTCAAAATCCTTATTTTTAACATTTTTAAATACTTTATACCCATTTAAAAAATTTTAATTGACTATTATACCATTATTATAAATATCAATTGAATATATATATATATATATATATATATATATATATATATATATATATATATATATATATATATATATATATATATATATATATATATATATATATCGTGGTTCTTACGGATTATAAAATTAAAAATCTATAATTATTAGTCAATTATTTTAAAAAATTCATTTTAAATAAATTATTAATTAAGAGATATATTAAATTTTTAAAGTTATTATAACTCCAAATTTAACATATAATTAGAAAATATAAATTTGAATTTTGAAATGAGTTGCTTAATATATCTAAATGACACATGACTTAATATTAATAAGATGTTGTATTAGAATGACACTTGGCAAAAGGATATTAAAACTATTCATTTATTAGAATATATATATATATATATATATATATATATATATATATATATATATATATATATATATATATATATAGTAGGTTATAACCCGTGGGCACCACGGATGAGTAAAATAAAATTAGTTTTATTTAAAGTAATATTTATTTATTGAGGAATGATAATATATATTTTAATAAGTAATAAATATAGATGTTTTATCAGTAATTTGATGATGATATACTGATTCGTTAAAATTATGAAAAAATATTGTTATGAATATTGAATGGTCATTTTTTTGTAGATATTTTCTAAAAGTATCATTTTTGTATAAGTGAATAAAAAAGTAAATAAAATAGAAACAAAAATTGATATATAAAATTTAATTTTACAAATTTTTTATAAAAATCTAAAAACTTCTTTATACACAACATTTGATGTTTTATTTGTTAGTCTACCACTCTTATCTAAAATTAACAATTTTAATCCTTCTCTACTTTGCACTCTGGATAAAGCAACGTATAATCGGCCATGTGTAAAAACGGGCTCTTTGAGAAACAGACCAACCTTCGACAAAGATTGTCCTTGGCTCTTATTAATTGTCATTGCAAAACATACAGCTAATAGAAATTGTCTTCTTTGGAATTTGAACGGGATCTTGTCTTCAGAAGGAGTTAAAGACATTCTTGGAATAAAAGTTGTGTTTCCAATATTACTTCCAGATATGATAATCGCCTCAATAATACGTTTGCCCAAAGATTTTACTTGTAGTCTAGTGTCATTGCATAAGCCATTTTTCTGATCAATGTTTCTCAACAACATAACTGGAACACCGATTTTTAAAATGAGCTTATGGTTTGGGAAACCTAATACTTTAAGACCATTTAAAACATCAGGTGAGTATAAATTTGCATCAAACTGATTATGAACAAACTCAGATTGGCAGAGGCTATCTGAACTTAAATATTCTTTTTGCTCTCCTGGAATCAATTTTAGCAAACGCTTATTTATTTCTTGGACAACTTCATTTTTGAGAGCAAGTATTGCTCTTTTTTGAAAATAACCTGCAATGTTGAAGTTTTCCAGAATTAAAGGATATACAAACTTGATTAATGAACCAATAGAATCACATGGATCATTAATGAGAATATCTTCTGGAATATCAACAATTGCTTGACCATCATTCGGATCACCAAGATTACCTTCTCCTATGTCCAAAAGTCAGTTTGAAAAACCCCTTATTTTCTCAACACCAGATGGATCGCTTCCAACAGTTAACCTCATGTTTTTTGTTAATTTATGGACTTTGCAATGTTGCCATAAATATGAAGAACTTAAAGAAGCATTAACAATGTTTTGTCTACTGCCACCCGAAACAACAGGCAAAATTTGTCTGAAATCACCTCCAAAAACAACCACTTTCCCTCCAAAAGGAGTATTCGAGTTCGTAGGATTGAAACGCTTTAATATATCCTTCAAAGTTCGATCTAAAGCTTCAAATGCATGCTTGTGTACCATAGGTGCTTCATCCCAAATGATCAATGATGTTTTTCTTACTAAATTGGCAAGATCACTATCTGGGTTTATTCTATAATAAGAATCCTCGGTAAGATTAATGGGTATTATAAACCGAGAGTGTGCTGTCCTGCCTCCAGTCAATAATAATGAAGCAATCCCGCTTGAAGCTACATTTAAAACAATCTCACCTTCGGATCTAATTGCTGCAGAAATTGTCTTCCAAAGAAATGTCTTACCTGTTCCACCATAACCATAAATAAAGAATACACCTCCCTTATTATCTTTAACCGTAGTCATGATATCAAGGAAAATGTTGCGTTGCTCGTCTGTTAATGAAACAAAAAGACGATCAAACTCATTCTTTAAATTTGGTATGTCATAATCTAGCTCCTCAGTTATCAGACGATTGTTTGAAGATGAAATCGAATCAGCATCAGGGCAAGGCATCCTTCTATAGTTCTTGAGACTGGTGTTGTTTCGGAGTAAAATTTGTTCTATCTCAAACAAAGTCAAGTTTTTAATTTGATCTTCGTTTAGTGATAAACCTGTATGAATAATGTTATATTACTTACGGTCAATTAAAAAACATAATAAATGAAAGTAAAATGTAATTAACCATAAATTTGAAATTTATATGTTATAGTTATAAAAAAATGTAATAATCATATAATACCTGGAGATTTTAATCTTTGTTGTTGAGTATAAAGAATTCCATCTGACAGATATTCCCATGTGTTGTCCCAGACAATCTCCGGGTTAGACAAACTGTTGGACAATAGCATCGTAGCAAATAAAAAACGTAGATAATAACCAGATCCAGAGAGACTTGCTTCCTTAATTGCGTCGATGTATTCTTTGTCATCATCCAAAAGCCCAAGATTATAGCATGCATCTTTAAAAGAAGAACATATTTCACCATTAATTGTGCGAATTTCTTCAAATGATTTTGGACCTTTCACTTTATTTAAAAGAATTCTTAAGAAATACGCTTCGCCAAGTTTAGGTGAAACCGAGTGAATTCTACCAATTGAATATCCAACTTTCCTTGGCTTCCAAATTTGAAGTTTAGGTTTCCAAACAAACTTTGTAGGAAATTCAACATAAGTAAGTTTCCGTGCTTCTTTATTGATTTCATTACACTTCATCCAAGATGTAAACATTGAAGAAGCAACTGAAGGTCGGTCAAGAACATCTTCAATATCATCGTCTGCCTCATATACAACTTGTTGTTGTCCAGGAAGATGAAACGGTAGTCTGATCACAGCAGGATACCTGTAATGAACATCATATTTAAAAATCCTCCATGATGCTTCACATGCAGATATATATCTACAATCATAGTATTCTTTGATTTCATCCACTGCATCGTTGTTATCAGAATCATTATTGTTTTGCACCATAGTAACAGTAGCCCTATCAGGACCTTTGTTTATATATTTAAATAAATACTTTATCGAAGATCCTTGATTGCACCATTCAACATTAATGTGTGCTTGATATCTTTTCAAAAGATATTTATTGTATGGAACAACATTTCTGTTGTCTAACTGGACCCCAGATTTTTCAACGGTATGTCCATCATTTCTTCTCCTATATAAGGGGAAACCGTTTGAATCAACTGAAGTATGATTACAGAATTGTTTTGGAAAGTTTTTAGAACACTTTCTGTCCACTATGCATGGGCAATTGAAATTTTCAGCTCCACAAGGACCATGGATCATGAAGTCTTTCACAAGTGAATACAATTCTGGATCTTCATTGATATTTGGAATCTCAGCAGAAATATACGGGTCGATATATTCAACTGTAGGAAGCTTGCAGTCAGCATGCATAAAAAGACATATATGACTATGGGGCAAACATCTTTTTTTGAAATTCAATTGTATAAACAACTGCACATAAAATTATACAAATAGGATAGAAGTTAGGAATTAAACAAATTTTGTGTTTATGTATGTATGTATACATACATTATAAAAAAACATAATTTAGATACCTATAGGAAAAATATAAATGATAATATTTTATAGTTATATATTAAACTATAATTTTAGATACCTGATTGGACCGTGCCAAAAATTTTGTTTTCCCTTAAATCTTTAATAAATGCATCCAGCTTGATCTTAAATAACCTACATAATATATCCGGTCTATCTTATGGATGAAGTGGAGTGTCCTTAAGAAACCTTTGAACTTCTGGCCATTTTGGATTACATGTAAAGGTTATGAAGAAATCAGGATATCCAAACCATTTACAAAGCGACATGGCATCCAAATAGTTTTGCATCATATAGCGTGCATCACCGGTAAATGAAGAAGGTAAGATCACACGTTGCCCGACGTTCGATATATCTGTACTCCCGAGTGCTTGGTGATTACGCAATTTCTCATAAGACTGACATCTAAGAATTTTTTGTTGCTTACGTATAAAAAATAATCTCTCACTTTCAATCATTGTATAACCATCAACTAAAAATTGTTGGAACAACCTTTTTGCATTGAGAAGTAATGAGAATGATTGATCTCTATCTTGAATTCTGTAAGCAAAAAATTCTCTCATTGTACAGGTTGGGCGCTTGCTATTACTCGAAGATGTAATACCTCTATGAAGAATGTCAACTCTGTAACCATCATCACCATATGGAAATAGTAATGGATATTGAAGAGCAAGGTAAGAAGGATGTAATTCACTGATACGTTGAAGTAGTCATGATGAGGTTTGAACAACGATATCTCTTTTTTCAACCGAATCATAAATGTCACCGACAATTAAAGCGGCTACCTCCGAAGAAGTTGGCAAGTTATATGTCCTTCCATCTTGTTCTCTTTTTCCTATTAATCTTAACTTCAAGTTAGCACCAGGGTTTTCGTGAAGACTGTCTCTTACCATCCTATAAGACTTGACTAACGCATTGTTTGAATCTAACATAACCTTC